GAAAATGAAACGACAGAACTTTCGGCGCGACCTAATAGAAGACAGGTATGCAAAATGACGTGAACGACAAAAATGAGAATGAAAATTACAAAACCTGGAAATGTTTGTACCTGTGAGTGTGAATGTAATACAGCTGCATTGTTTCCGGCACTACAACATCAACTCTGAGATCACATTCTCTAGAGCTGTCTTCACCCAAGTATCTGGAAGTTGAAAAAGGTAGAAGGCTAGAATACATAGACTCATGTGAGGGCTATACTTCAAGATCTTGATTTCCGCATGTGCAGGCAGAACGCTAGTGCCACCATGACTCAGGATGACTCGTTCCGGATACAATTCAGAATAGAAAGGTGTGCGATCATCAATACGTAGACCATCGACAAGCAATGCCACCGACACCGTTTCCACTTTCTCGTATAATTTTAGCTGTAATTACATGAAAATCTGAGGATTTCCGGAAAACTAAGAAATTTTTAAGTTACCATAGCGCTCATCATTGCGTTTTCCAAACGAATTGCTCCCAATCTCGTCGAATTTGCGGGATAGTTCATATCGATGCGCCACGATCCTACTCGCATAGCACAACCAACACGTAGCGGATTGAGTTTGGGTTTGATCGTGAGATCTTGAATTTGTTGAAGGACTAAAGTATTGTTCTCGATACAGGTATGAAGTGAATAAACATAACTTCTTTCGGTGTCGATGGTAAGGACCACATGCTGGCAACCAAGATGATCAAGATATCAAAAGGATAAAGATTCGGAGTCTTCAATACCCTCTGCGGGCATGCTTCGAACGCACTCGTAGTCGAAGAGGCAGGTAAATGAATGCATGCCTTTTACAATGACTTGCGGGGGCCAGCCGATTGTCAAGTCAGTGTTCTTATCCTCCCAGATTACTCTGGTACCAATTCACCGACCTCGGAGGGTAGATAGAGGGCTTGGTTGGCCCAGGGGCAGGGAACCTCGGTCCGATCTGGTCATAGCGCGCCTCACCACTAAGCCACTCGTCCCCGACCAAGATTTTGAGGACAAAATTTTAGCTGTGTGCACAAATTTTTAGCAGACTATTCTTTCTCATCAGTAGAACACTTGCACTCCAGATCAGATGCTTAAGCGCAACTTCTAGGATCCAGCCAGCGCAAATGAAGAATGGTGTTCCGAATTTTGCAATTCGCTTTTGATCAACAACAGCGAAAGGAAGCTGCTTAACCTCAAAGAATCTGTGTTCTTACGTAGCAGTAATCCATATCATTGCGAATGGCTTTTACTTCGCAAGGATTTCGATAAATTCGCGAAAAATGTCCTAGCAAAAAATTCCCGTCATATTGTGCTCGTTCAGCAAAACAAAACCCGATGATCAAAAAACGTCAGAGCGTCTAAGGAAAGCACTAAATCAGATTTCTGGTATCGAATCTAGCTTTCGTGAGGAAAACGCAACAGTGAAAGGTTTTCTGTAGAATTACCAATATTATGACGGATTTTTTTGTTTCTGCATTTCTATGCATTACTGTTTTGCAAAAAGTTTTTGGAAATTCTTTGGGACTAGCTACCTACCCAAA